GGCGGCCACTGCACTCCAGTCTGGGCGACTGAGTGAGACTCCAACTCAAATAAAAAAAAAGACTGTCCCATGAAACATTTGGGACATCTTTGTATATCTTTAAAAATCTTTTTATAGAGAGAAGCTCTTGCTATGCTGCCCAGGCTGGTCTCAAACTCCTGACCTCAAGCCTTCCTCCCACCTCAGCCTCCCAAAGTGCTGGGATTACAGGTGTAAGTCACCAATCCTGGCTTTTTGGGGGTAAGTATTCATTGCTTAAATGAAATTTTAATGTAACTGAGTGTCCTGTATTTTTTCCGTTGACCCTAGTCAAAGCAGCTGAGGCACTGAGAGTGTAGGAGGAGGAAGTGTCATGAAAAAAGGAAGGAGGCATTTGGGGGGGCATCCTTCTCTGGCTGGGCAGAGAGGTGCCTCTTCATGAGTGGTGCAGTTAGATTAAGGACACAACTGCAGAGTTTCATCATCTCACTCCCTAGCTCTCTATGACTTGAATTCTGTTACCTTGGCACTGGAATAAAGAACTGATTAACCCTTTCCCAAGGGGCCAGGCATGAGTTTGCTGGTGGCCAGCAGTTGAGACACCTTCGGTGGGCACTGGGGAGCAAAGGGAGGTTCTGGGGATACTTGGCCAAAGACACAGATTATCTTGCCCATTCTTCCCTGCTCTTAAAGAAGACTTCCAGAAACGTGCCGTGAGCCTGAGGGAAGGATCTTAAGGGCCAGGATGACAAATAACAGATAACTAGCATGATATACCAAGTTAAACATTGGTAGAGACCGGAAGGTGATGTGGTACACACTCATTAAGCCTGGGGTACACTCTTGGAACTCATTACCATTCACTGCTTGGCATGAACTGGTAGCCAATCTCCCTCACGAGGGATGTGGGAACCACTGACTGTGGCAGAAGCTTCGAATGAGGTGACTGGTCAGAAAAGTTCTGCCTCAATTTGTCCTCACTATGGCTTGGGTGTTTGCCTTCTTGGAGTTCACACTGAGGCACAGAGGACTTTAGGAAGGCTATCTTGTTTAGGTTCATATTTACATTTGTCTTTTTGAAATACATTGTGTTTTCACCTCCAATACACACTCCTTTAGAATTTTAAATAATTGGAGAATTTTCTCCAGGTATTTCTGGCTCTTGCTGGTTTGGTAACATTGTTTTGGCTAGTTTTGGTCATCTCCAGTAATTTTCACATACACGCCACAATATTTCTGTCTTTCCCTTTTTTCTCTTTCTTTCTCTTTCTTCTCCTCTCAATTCCTCTCATGCAATCATAATTTTTCACATTTTAAGCTAATCAATTTTTACAAATTTCTTGACTTCCCATAGTAATGGTAATCAGCCTCAGATATACACGAGTCCTTATATGTAGTATTTAAGATTAAGTTAACCACTGTATGAGTTATCACCAATGTGAGAAGTACAAAGCAAGAGAAGAAAAACCACTTAAGAATTAGGCCAGGTACGGGGGCTCATGCCTGTAATCCCAGCACTTTGGAAGGCTGAAATGGGGGGATCGCTTGATCCCAGGAGTTTGAGGCCAGCCTGGGCAACATAGCAATACCTCATCTCTACAGAAAAATCAAAAAAATTAGCTGGATACAATGACTCATGCCTGTAGTCTCAGCTACTTGGGAGTCTGAGGCTGGAGGATCACCTTAGTCTAGGAGTTAGAGGCTGCAGTGAGCCATGATTGCACCACTGCACTCCAGCCTGGTGATAGAGTGAGACTCTTGACTCAAAAAAAAAAAAAAAAAATGGGGTTTACGTAACAGTAGCATTATAGTCATTTATGTAAACAGCTCTGCATTCATGCCTAATTATAATGCAGCTTCATAACAATTACACCATGAAATCCACATTTTGTTTGACTTCAACACTGAATGCCATTTTCTTAACTTTCAGAGCCCAGTGCCCATATTTCAGGGTCATCGACCTCTTTTAGTCATTCAGCAAATATTTCACTGCCCTCGTGTTTAGGGCTCCATGTTAGCTGCTGCTTGTCCTGAGGCAGGTACAGTGTAACAAACTTGTAAATAAATAAGTTATCACACAGTATGTTAGGTGTTATAACAGAAGCATAAGTAGAGGGACTAAGTAACCAGCCCCTTTGTAGGGAATTTAACAGAGTCATGAAGAGTTGCCATCTGAACTGGGCTTCTAAGAATGAATAGGAGTACTGTAAGAGAAGGGACGGAGGGAGAATCATGATAGGCACACTCTGGGTCAAAGCAGGAGTGACTGGGGTTAGAGAGAAGCTTTCCATGGAGGGAGCATGGGTACAGGGGATGGGGTCGTAGGACCTGGAGCTGAGGAATTTGGCTGAAGCCAGATGGTGAAGATCCTTGGATACCAAGCTGGGGGTTTATCTTGTAGGTGGGAACAGAAGGAGCTATGATGTTGAGGAGAAAAGCTCTGGAGATAGTGTGAAAGATAGTTTGGAGTAAAAAAAGGTGGAGGGTAGTATTGTAATGGGTAAAATCTTTTATTCTAGTTGCAGGACACAGATAATAAGGAAGATAAATAAAATGTGTATGATGCTATGTTGTGATCAGTGCTGCAAAGAAAATAAAAGCAGAGGAGCAGAGGTTGAATTCTTTTACAGGATGGTCAGGTTAGACCTCACTGAGAAGGGACACAGGAAGGTGGAGGCAGAGGAATTAGATGTCTTGTGAGGCTTTCTATACAGACTGAGCAACACACCCAAAGGTCCTGAGGCAGGAGAAGACCCGATACATTCAAGGAACAGCAAAGCACCAGTGTGGTTGCAAGGCAGTGAGCAGGTTAAAGAGGCGGGGTGGCACAGGCCATGACAACTTCACAAGCTCTGCCAGAACTCTGCTTTTCTGGCCCATCTTGATGGCCCACGCCTGTAATCCCAGCACTTTGGGAGGCTGAGGCAGGAGGATTGCTCAACCAGGAGTTCAAGACCAGCCTGGGAAAGACCTCATCTCTGCAACAAAATGAAAAAATTACCAGGGTGTGCCCAGGAGGTCGAGGCTGCGGTGAGCTGTGATCAACCCACTGCACTCTAGTCTGGGCTAAAGAATGGGCACACTCTGCCTTTTGTTATATAAAGACGGCTCTGGCTGTTGTATTGGGATTAAAATGGGGTGGAGAACAAAGGTGGAAACAGGGAGACCCACAGTAATCCAGTAAAATTGTAGTAGTCCGGGGAAGTGATGGTGGCATCCTGAAGCATCTTGGCGATAGCAGGATGACAGAGATGACAAGGAGGGGCCAGCTTCTGGGCATAGTGTGATGGCAATAGAGCCAACAGTTTCCCGATGTAAAATGTAAGGGAAAGACAGGACTAAAGAGTGCTGCCGAGGATTTTGGCTTGAGTAACTGTAGGATGCATTGATATTAACTGAGATGGAGAAGATGCAGGTTTAGGGGAGAAGGTCAGGAGGACTTCAAGTTTGGAAATGTTGGATGTGAGGTATCTCATCAACATCCAAGTGGAGGAGCTGAGAAAGTAACAGAAATGTTAATAACAGGAGTAGGCTAGGTGCAGTGGTTCATGCCTGCAACCCCAGCACTTTGGGAGGCAGAGGCAGGAGGATTGCTTGAGCCCAGGAGTTCGAGATCGGCCTGGCAACATAGTGAGACTTTGTCCATACAAAAAAATTTTAAAAATTAGCCAGGCATGGTGGCGCACACCCGTAGTCCCAGCTACTTGGAAGGCTGAAGTGGCGGGATCTCCTGAGTTCAGGTCAAGGCTGCGGTGAGCCACAATCGTGCCACTGCACTCCAGCCTGGGCAGCAGAGACTGCAACTCAAAAATAAATAAATAAAAAAAATTAGAATAGTTGTATATAAGAGGTAAAGTTTTCAAACATTTTTTTCTTTCTCTTCCCCTACTTTGTCCACTTCTTGTTTTGCTTGGCTTTTTTTAATTTTTCAAAAATTTAAAATCATAAGCCCATTTTGTTTTTGCAGTAGAAAAAAATAAGCCACATTTAATTTTTAAAAATAATGTGAGGTATGAGCTATGGGAGGAATAAGTGAGTATTTCAGACTTTCTTTTCAATCTTCTTGTGTCCAGAATTTGAAAGTCAAGCCAATTTGACATTCTCTGTGGTCCTATCACAGGCCCAGAGCTCTGCTAGGTTCAGGGATACTTAGATGAACAAACGTGGCCCCTGCTCTGGAGGAGCTCCCAGCTGGCTCCAGGACTAGTTTCCATGAGTACTGAAACCGAGGTCCAAACCAAGAACTGAGGGAGAGGGAGGGAGGGAAGGAGGGAGCAGTAAGAATGCACAAAAGCCCTGTATTATAAAAACGTCAGCCGGGCATGGTGGTTCATGCCTGTAATCCCAGCACTTTGGGAGGCCAAGGCGGGAGGATTGCTTGAGCCCAGGAGTTCAAGACCTCATCTCTACGAAAAAAATCAAAAAATTAGCCAGACGTGGTGATACACACCTATAGTCCTAGTTACTTGGGAAGCAGAGGTGGAAGGATTGCCTGAGCCCAGGAGGTCGAGACTACAGTGAGCTGTGATGGTGTCACTGCCTTCCAGCCGGGGTAACAGAGTGAGACCCCAACTAAAAAAATAAAAGTCAAAAGCATACAGGTCAAGTAGCCTCTTAGCCACATGGAGTGTAATTTTAATGCAGCATGGAAGAACACATGGATGGGCGATCAGGTCTCTCTTTCCTAAAACACAACACATGAGCCCAGAGACATCCAAGGACATCTCTGGGAAAGGGGAAGCCCCCTCCCAACATATACACACTCAGCGAGCCAGGGTCCTGTTGTTGCCACATCTAGGGTAAGGGGCTTGGGCCAGCTGCCCTTCATAGGAAACTTCCGCGGCTCCAGCCTGCTGGTGGGGATCCAGGCCATGGCAGCACTGCTTGTCTTTTGGCATCAGGGACACACCTGGCTGCAGCTGATGTTCTTCAGCGCCTCCTGACACGCAGCAAAGAGACTTGGGTGGGAGGCATGTGGACATGCAGTTCGCGGTGGAGCTGGGGAGGAAAGGAAGCCAGGTGGTACTTCCTGCCCAACTAGCCCATGAGCTCACACAGGCCAAGAGCAGGAAGGGATAGCGGGACAGAACACACGAAGAGGACAGCAACACTTCTGAGTCTCCTGCGTGCTGGACATGGCTGGGTGCTTCACACACATCTGTCATTGAAACCTCACAGCAACCTTACAAAGCAGGTATTATTATTCTCATTTTATAAGGGATGAACACCATATGAAATAACTTACCTGAGGTCACCAGGCATGAGAACTCACCCCAGATCTAGCTGGTTCCAACCCTCATTATCTGACCCTGAGCCTAGGACCATTGGCCGGCCCCCAACAAGAGCTGACACCCAACACTCCCCTGGCCCGGCACCTGCACCTCCACTGTCTGACCTGCTCTTGATATCCCTGATTTCTTTCTGACTCCGGAAATAGCTTCTGGTTTGGGAGCTCAGATCTGACATTCAACCTGGCTTTGCCCTTCGACTGGGATTCACACTTGCCACTTCATCATGTGCAGAGGACATTTGTCACTGATTGAGCCATCATGCATCAAATCCCCGTGCCATGTCTGGGGAACTCCTCGTGGTGGGAGTCCTGCTGGGCCTCTCTAACCTAGGAGAACTTCGAGGACCTGAATGGCCTCTCTTCCCATCTCCTGGCAGCGAGACATGAACATGAGTGCTAAGCTCAGCCTGTCAGATATTCCCACTCAGTACTTTGACCCAGAGACAAAAAGGCAGCGAGAACTCAAGTGCAATAGTGTGTGCAGGCAGCATGATGCCCATAGGTTGTGGAAGCACCTAAGAGTGACAGTGTCCCAGCCAGAGTGTTCCCACTGTCCAGTCCCCAGATCCCCCTGGGTTCCTCCTGCCTGTTTCCAAGCCAGCTCCTCTGGCATTCCTTTGGTTCTATGCACACTGGGACCCTGCCAACAAATCCCCTGTTTACTTGTGACAACATTTCTCTTTTGCCCACAACAAGGGGTCCCACTTGCGATGGGCACATCCTTCTTCATCTGCTAAGGGTAGCCATCTCACCTGTCCAGCCTGACTAGTGTAGGATTCCCAGCCAGCACCACTGCCAGGATTGCCTTTACAAGGAGTGATGCCAAGCCTGGGCTGCTGATAAGCTATGTGGCACCCACTGCTGACCGGAAGATGTGCTGATACCAGCTTCAGGTGTTGGCAGGGGCACTGCTAATGGGCAATCCATACCTGACCGTGTGCTGGACCCGTTTTCACTGGTCACACCTGTGAGGGGAGCCTAGCCATTTCCCATCATGCTCCATCTCCTGCTTGGCAGAGTGGAGGAACCCTGCCTCAGAGAGGGCAGGCCAGTGAAATCTGCACCGAGCTGATCCAGTCTAACCCTCCAGTGAGTCATACCATCCCCCAAAGCCCTGACCCCATTGGAAGCTCTGCCCAATGATCTGGGTTTAGGAGAATTTTTCCAGCTTTTTGTACGGATATATCCCAATTGTGGTCCCCATCTAGAGCATACATATATGGAGTTTTTGTTTTCCTTACATCACTATTTCCTCTGGGGTTTGTCCTTTCCATTTTATGTGGTCCCAATTGGGTTGTCAGTCACGGTGGCCCTTGCAGGCCAATGAGACCAGTCCTTCCTTGGAGATATGCGAATTTTGGTAGAGGGACATGCCTTATAAATCTAGGGTTGTCACTACCACCTTTCCATATATATGGAGGAAGGAATCTGAAGCACAAAGGGAATAGATCTAAGAGAGAGAGAGAAAGAGGAAATTCCCATGATTATATTTGAGCTGCTGGATCCAGCCATACCTGAAGCTGGAAGAGCCACTTCTAGGATTCTCAGACCTTGCCTCTCTTGTGTTAACTGCTAAAACTTAGGTTTCTGCCACTTGCAGCCTAGAGTCCTGCCTACCTGTCCATCAATATGTGGACAGAAGGCAGAACTTCTAAGGACCTAAAGAAATTGAGGCAGGGTTGGTTTACATTGCAGAGAAGGGGAATGAAGAACTCCCCAAAGTTCCTCAAAGCCAGGCAGGGATCCCTGGATTCAGCTCCTAACAATTCATAAGAAATGAGACTTCCTCCCAAGTGTAGCAGTTGCTCTTCTGAGCTCCTCTGATGCCCCTGCGGTCCCTGAAAACCTCACACTTTGCTCCCCTGGCCCAGAGAGGTCCTGCTCACCCGCTGCATCAGCCTCTCTGCCACTCTGGGGTCAGTGAGGTCTTCTGGCGAGGCCACATTCAGCCTCAGGAGAAGGAAGCCTCCATCTTCACCTGCAAGGCGAGAACAGTAGGAAGATGAAAATACGGTCAAGTTAGCTTAGGAATCAAGGCAGGCTTCAGGCTGCTCAGCCTCTCCCCAGCTGGCACATAATGTGTGCACTCTCATGTGCAAATGTTTTTGTATTTACACAGATCCTACATTTACTTGCAACAAAGTGAAAAGAGGATTTCCTCTCTGGGATAATTAGGCCCACTTTAGTATCTTCCCAACAAGAGGAAAAATTAGTGTCTTAAGGTACCACCCACTTTTGGAGAAGTCAAAAGGATAGTGTGAGAAATGAAAGTGAATCTAGAATGTTCTCAAGACCTGGAGGTAGGCCAGGTACATGGGTGCTCACAACGGTAATCCTAGTGCTTTGGGAGGCTGAGGCAAGAGGATCGCTTGAGGCCAAGAGTTTGAGACCAACCTGTACAACAAAGTGAGACCCCATCTCTACAAAAAATTCTTAAAAATTAGGTAGGCATTGTAGTTCGCACCTGTAATCCCAGCTAACTTGGGAGGATGAAGTGGGAGGACTGGGTGAGCCTAGGAGTTCAAGGTTACAGGTGTGGCCTCCAAGCAATGTGGACTGGCCGAGCAACATTTCATTTTTAAAAAAAAATTTTTTGTAGAGACAAGGTCTTGCTGTGTTGCCTAGGCTAGTCTGAAACTCCTGGGCTCAAGCAATCTTTCCACGTTCGTCACCCAAAGTGCTGAGGTTATAGGTGTGAGCCACCAAGCAGCTTCCGATAATAAACTTCTCCCCTGAAAAGTACCTGTTATCTTAGAGATGTAGCTTTAAATTCCCAAGACTTTGCCCTATTTGCTTAAGTTGCTATATGTGGCACAAATCCCAGCAGGGGCTCAGACCCAGATCACAGCCACACAGGAGTCAGGGCCTTGTCCACCTCCGAAACACCCACTTCGCCTGACTTCCAGCAAGCCCCACTTTTCTGGGATCCCAACTGCTCGGAGCACAGCAACTTGGGCCACATGCCCACAGGCTGCCCCTCTGTGTGATTAGGGCTGAATCAGAAACTTCCAAAGTACAAGGGCCAAGTCTTTTAAATAAAAGGTGGGGCCTTGCCTGATACCACTGGTTACTCAACAGTTAACGTCACGGAGGGTCAGAGCTGGAAAGGACTTCGGTGCTCATTCAATGATGCCCTCTCCAAGAACAGGTGGACACACCATGACCCAGAGTGGGGGAGGCAGTTCTCCAGGGTCCATCAGGTTGTAAAAGGCAGAGCCAAGACCCCTACCTCTTTTTTTTTTTTGAGTTGGAGTCTCACTCTGTCACCCAGACTGGAGGGCAGTGGCCACTCCCGACCACCGCAGCCTCGACCTGCTGGGCTCCGGCAATCCTTCTGCCTCAGCCTTCCAAAGTAGCCAGAACTAGAGACGTGTGCTACCACGCCCGGCTAATTTTTTTTTTTAATTTATTGTAGAGATGAGGTCTCACCAAGTTGCCCAGGCAGGTCTCGAACCCGTGGGCTCAGGCAATTCACTCACCTCGGCCTCCCAAAGCATGGGATTACAGGCTGAGCCACCGAGCCCGGCCGACCCTTACCTTTTTCTTCAGACATCCAGTCCCATGCTCTCCATATACCACCCTCCCTCTGCTTATTCCTGAGTTGGGCAGGAAGGCCTAGGAGGTCCTGAAGAGGCGACATCAGCGAGGGGGCTCAGTCCAAGCCCCAGAGCCTTCCTCCCTCCCTACTTCTTAAGCAAGTGGACATCCTGGGAACTGTAAACCCCAAGTCCCCAAAGACCACACATAGAGAAGTCACTCACCTGTAGTAACTTCTGTAGTCCACCTTGTCCAAGCACGGGTGGGTGTGGCTACAGAGCGCTTCATTGGGGTCTTTGCTGAGGTCGTGTTCTTGGCTAGGGTGATGTTCGGTCCTCGGCTAGTGTTGGCTGTAGTCAGCTGGACAGAAGGAAGAGGGCTCCTGGTGAAGGGGAAGGGTCCATTGGTTGTACTGTTTGTGATAGATGTCTCTGAAGAGATGGCGTTCTTAATGGTGGCTACTTCTGAGGGACTGTAGACTGAAATTGAGGACCCAGCAGAGGAAGCCTCTTTGCCCACCGTGGAGCCAGCCTCAGTGGAGACTGGAACTGCTCCTGAGTCTTCAAGGTAGCTTGGACTCTCAACAGAGTGAGCAGATATATCTTCCAAGGGGTTCATGCTAATGGTCACCAAAATTCCATCAGGGGTAGTGGCCTTGGCTGCCGATGTTACTCTTTCTGTGATGCTAACGGTGGGGAGTGGGTTCTCAACTGTGGCATCAGGTCCCACTGACCCTGTGGCACTGGCTGTTGCCAAGGTCTCAGCAGAGATTGTTTCCTCGGTGATGTATGGTTTTGCTTCCGTGGAGTCAGGCGAAGTGAGTGTTTCAGAGGTGGACAAGGCCCTGGCTCCTTCTGTGCGGCTGTGATCTGGGTCTGAGACCCCAGAAATGATGGCAGTTGTTTCTGTTTCTGTAATGCTGCAATTGGTCACCTCGATGTGGGTGACGGAATAGGCAACCACGGCCTTAGAGGGAATAATGATGTCAGGTGCCGTGGCTTGGGAGGTGGTGAGGACCGCAGCTGACCCGTCGGAAGAGGAGCTGCTCTCTGAGGACAAGCCCTCAGTGTCTGTGGCAGGATGCGCCAATGTCACGACGCCAGTTACAATCCTCCTTGCCTCTTCAGAGCTGTCTTCGGTGCAGAGGGTCTCAAACATGGTCTTCTCAAGATCACTGCCGGTAGCAGTTTCAATTGTGGTCATTGCAGTTCCTGTGAGGCCACGGCTTGTGGCTGACATCTCTCTAGGGGTGGTTATCACAACCGTGAACTTGGAAGGCATCGTTTTTGTGAGCATCCTGGTCCCTGTTGCAGGGTAAATGGTCTTGGTTTCCCTGGTTTCTTCTTCTGAGATGGTGCCATTTGGGATTAAGATCCTAGAAACGTTCTCAGTGCTCAGGGTTTGAGCCTCCAAAGAGACATGGCCCGGTGCTGAGGTCTCAGCAAAGCCAGTGGTCTGGATGGCTCCCTCTGAGCCCATCCTGACCCCTGGATACACATAAGGTACTTCTGCTTCATTTGATGTCATCAAAGTGTCTTGTCTGCTGGTATGGGTGCCTGTGTTGGGCGAGATCAACTCTGTGAGTGGAGAGTCCCTGTGGCCTTCACACAAGCTCTTTCTGTTACTCCCTGTGCACTGGGAGGAGGCTGAGGAGGGAGAGCTGCTGTTACCCCAGTTTTCATCTACATAAACAAGGAAGAATGGGCAGCCCTGGGAGGCATCCACGGGCTGGGGTTGCCCTGACTGGTGTCCTCTGAAGCCCTGACAACCCACTCAAAATGGCAAGACCCGGGATCCTAGCTGACGGTTGTGCTGTGGCTATCAGAGGGAACATGTGGGGCCAGCATCCACCTTCAAGGGTGAGCAGAGAAGGCGGAAGTCCAAGGGAGCCCAGAAACGCAGAGCAGGGACCGGGCTCGCAGAACTTCCTAAAAGAATGTGTTACTTTCCCATGGATACTCTTCTCATCCAGCGATGTTTCCCCATTGTATAACACTTTAAAGGAAGCAGACACCTTTGAAATACAAGAAACACGAGGGTTTCGGCTTTACAGGGGGCTGGGAGGACTAGGGGTGTGGGGGGAAACCTCCAGAGACAGTGTGGGGTACTCCTGCCAGGGTGAGGGAAGAGGGCAGAGTTTTTGGGCTCCAGCAAGAGGAAAAAGAGCACTTCCCACCTACGCCTGAGAACTACAGGGATAGAACCTCAGAACCACAGAAATCATGGGCCAGGCATTTTCCACTTGAAACGGGGAGCCACGTGAGGCAAAGTCTAACATTTTAGAGGTGTTTGCTGGCACTTTTCCATAGAAGAAGTGGCCCCTGAGGGGGTCTGAGTGGAGGTCCCTGAGGGAGGTCCCAACGAATTTTTTTTTTAATCGAGATGGGGTCTTGCTATGGTGCTCAGGCTGGTCTTGAATGCCTGCGCTCAAGCAGTCCTTCTGCCTCAGCCTCCCAAGTATCTTTATAGCAGGATGCTTTATGACCTGACAAAGGGTGCCTCCCCTGTCTATAGAGAGGTAGGGTTTGCACTGGGGGCAGACCAAGGATTGCCAGATCTAGCAAATAAAAATACAGGGCACCTAGATAAAACTGATTTGCACTTCAGGTAAATAAATTATAATAATAAATAATTTTAGTGTGAGTCTTTTTCAAGCAATATTTAAGACATATTTACACTAAAAAAACAAAACAAAACAACTCCATCCTGGAAATTTAATTAAACTGGATGTCCTGTGTCTTATATGGTATATGCCTGCCCTGAGTCCTACATTTGGAAGGAAATGGATGAAAATACGAACCCCTTTTTAGTTGTTCAGATGGTTTGAGAAGGTCCTCACTGCGATGCGCTGGGCCACAAGCAGCCCACAGACCGATCAGAGGCCCAGGACCTCTCCCCAGAGTGTCAGAATCGGGCCCCTGTTCTTGGCTCATCCTCCTTTGGACCTTGCTGAGTGATGGAACTAGAGTCAGGAGCGTAGGTTGCAGCTGTAGTTCTGTGACCCGCTACTTACTGGGCGGTCGGATGATCTACTAGTTCAAATCCTGCCTCTGCCTCCTACTAGCCAGGCCAGCCACTAGGGATCCCCTGGCCTCCATGCCCACACCTGGGAAGGAGGATCACAAGACCAGCCCTGCCAAGGTGCTCAGGACCAAAGGAGCTGGTGAACAGGAAAGCTCTTACATTTCACAGGCTGCAAAGGGTTACAAGCACTCCTTGCCATGGTGTCCTCTCAAAGGGTCACTGGAAAGCACACAGCCCATTTGAATCCAGTGTGAATTGCAGCTACACCCCACCTGCATCCTAAGGGAGTCATGGGCTCCTGTTCTCATTAGGGCTGCCCAGCTGCACACACAGCTCTGGCTTTTACAGGAAATGCGAGTTTGCCTTCGTGGTACACTGTCTTCTCACTACCTCAAGACCTGAGACAGTCCTCTGAGCTCTCCTGGTTCAGCCTATGCAGCTTGAAGCCCAAACAGTGGTGCTCTTGGAGCCTGGCCTCTGACATCCCACGATGCATTTTCTTCCTTTTCCGGAAGCCCCATGGTGTCATTTCCACTGTGACACCTCCTCATGCTCTCCAAGCCCTAGCCTCTTTGCTCCAGAGCTCCTGCAGGCCCCCACCCCAGGCTCTTACCTCTGGGGGTCTGCTCCAATTCAGCAAAGCGCACCCCAGTCCCCCCACAGCCCTAGAACATTCACTTCTGCCATTCCGTCTCTCAAATGTCATAGAGTGGCAAGGGCTTCAGACCCCGGGTTTGAGTTCCCTTGTCTGCTGCTGGCTCCACTGCATACGAACTGGGTGAGCCTGGCCCAGTCTCCTAGTGCCAAGCCTGAATCTTCTCATTTGTAGAATGGAGCCAGGAGGACCTATTTCATGGGGTTGCATTAAATTAAAAGGAAATATGCATCACAAACCTGGTAGGCTGTGAGCGCAGGAGTTCATTCAAGGTTACAGTGAACTATGATCACACCAATGCACTCTATCCTGGAAGTCAGAGTAAGGCCCTATCTTTGAAAAACAAAAACAAAAACAGAAAAACCTGGAGGTCATCAGTGGAGGCTGTTGAGAAAGGGTCAACCAGAGAACGTGCTGGAGAGAGGCTGGCTCTCTGAGGGGTGCCTTCAGCCAATTCTAGTTTTTGATTGGTGAGGGGCTGAAGAGGTCTCCTAATCCAGCCTTCATGGCTTAGCAGCTCTGCAAGAATGTTTGGTTATGGAGCCCTAGTCTGCTTGGCCTTATCTGCTGTCCTGTAGTCATTTCTACCAATCACAATACTGTTAGAATTTATCTAGGCTTGGTGCAGTGTCTCGTGCCTGGAATCTCAGCACTTTTGAGAGGCCGAGGCTTGAGCCTAGGAATTTGTGGCCAGCCTGGGCAACATAACAAGAGCTTGTGTCTACAAAAAGCTAAAAAGATTTAGACGGATATAGTGACGAATCTCTGTAGTCTCAGCTACTCGGGTGCCTGAGGCAAGAGGATCGCTTGAGCTCAGAAGGTCAAGGCTGCAGTGAGTTGTGATCATGCCACTGCACTCCAGCCTGGGTGACAGTGAGCTGTGATCATGCCACTGCACTTCAGCCTGGGTCAAAAAAAAAAAAAAAAAAAAAAGGAGAGAGAGAGGATGAAATATATACGCATCCATAAACATATTTCATGTCCAGAATGTGATACACTAGAAGTGATCCCACAGGTGACATGTGTGAGAACTGGGAACTTGGGGGCAGCAAGGGGAAGAAGACATTTTATGGTGTACTCTTTTGTATCTTTTGAATTTTAAGTCATATGAATGTATCATCTAATCAACAAATAATAAAGAAAATGTTTTGAAATAAAAATATATCGATAAGTTTTTAAAAATAAATGTACAATGGAAAGACTACAAGTTTTGGAATCAAACAGACTTCCCTTTGATTCCACAGCCATCTTTCCAGGAGAACTTACTTACTATCTTTACACCTGTCAGGTGAAGTCATGACACCCACCTCTCAGGTTATTCTGAAGGTTACATGACAGGAGATGGCATGTGCAGAGTTCACAGCACACTGCCTGGCACCAGAGAAAATATCCAGCTGGTGCCAGCGTTTACTGGCTATGAAGTCTTTTTATATTAGCCCTGTGTACAATACAAAGATAATTAGTAAAGCAGTTGGGATTTCTTTTTTTGTTTTCCTGTTGTTTTTGTTTTTTGCAGTTGGAATTTCTATGTTTATTTCACCTCCTAGAAAGTCAGGGAAAGCTAAGGATTCATAGGGATGAGACTCAAGGACACAGTGATAGCAAGTGGAGATAGAGGCTACAGGCTGACATGGAGGCTACTGGTTGAAGTAGAGGCAACAGGCTGAATGGAGGCCACAGGCTGCCATGAAGACCATGGGCTGAAGTGGAGCCTACAGGCTGAGGTGGAGGCTACAGACTGAAGCAAGGGCTTCAGGCTGACACGGAGGCTATAGGTTGACTTGGAGGCCACAACTGAAGTGGAGGCCACAGGCTGACGAAGACGTGGACTGACCAAACAATATCTTGTTTTTTATATTTTAATTTTTGTAGAGACAAGGTCTTGCTGTGTTGCCTAGGCTGGTCTGAAATTCCGAGCTCAAGCAATCCTCCCACCTTGGCTTCTCAAAGTGCTGAGATTACAGGTGTGAGCCCGGCCTGCCTAGCAGCTTCTGACAATGAACTTCTCCCCCAAGAAGTACCTATTATCTTAGAGATGTAGCTTTAAACTCCCAAGACTTCGCCCTATTTACTTAAGTCGCTATCTACGGCACAAATCCCAGCAGGGCATCCAGCAAGCCCAACTTTTCTGGGGTCCCAACTGCTCAGAGAGCAGTAACTTGGGCCAGAACCTGCAGGCTGCCCCTCTGTGTGCCAAGGGCTGGATCAGAAGCTTCTAAAGCATGAGGGTGAGTCTTTTAAATAAAAGGTAAGGCCTTGCCTACTGGCCTGCCAGTAACTACTGGCAGGCCAGTAGTTAACTTCACGGAGGGTCAGAGCTGGAAAGGGCTTCAGTGCTCATTCAAAGATGCCCTCTCCAAGTACAGGTGGAGATATTGAGGCCCCACCTGTCCAAGGAAGTTGTCCAAGGTGCGTCAGTATGTAAAAGGCAGTGCCAAGACTCCTATTGCTTTCTCCAGACGTCCAGCCCCACATTCTCCATACATCACCCTCACTCTGCTTATTCCTGAGTTGGGCAGGAAGCACTAGGAGATCCTGAAGAGGCGACAACAGTGAGAGGGCTCAGCACAGGCCCCAGAACCTTCCTCCCTCCCAAGTCCACAAGCATGTGGACATCCTGGGAATTGCAAGCCCTAAGTTCCCAAAGACTACACATAGAGAAGCCACTCACCTGCAGTCACTTTTATGGTCCACTTTGTCCAAACACTAGTGGGTGTGGCTTTTGGGGGCTTCATCAGGGTCTTTGCTGAGGTCATGTTCTTGGCTAGGGTGATGTTTGTTCCTCGGCTACTGTTGACTGTAGTTGGCTGGACAGAAAAAAGAGGGCTCCTGGTGAAAGGGAAGGGTCCATTGGTTGTACTCTCTGTGGTAGACGTCTCTAAAGAGGTGGCGTTCTTAATGGTGGCTACTTCTGAGGGGCTGTAGACTGAAATTGAGGACCTGGCAGAGGAAGCCTCTTTGCCCACTGTGGACCCAGCCTCAGTGGAGACTGGAACTGCTCCTGAGTCTTCAAGGTAGCTTGGACTCTCAACAGAGTGAGCAGAGATATCTTCCAAGGGGTTCATGCTAATGGTCACCAAAATTCCATCAGGGGTAGTGGCCTTGGCTGCCGATGTTACTCTTTCTGTGGTGCTAACGGTGGGGAGTGGGTTCTCAACTGTGGCATCAGGTCCCACTGACCCTGTGGCACTGGCTGTTGCCAAGGTCTCAGCAGAGATTGTTTCCTCGGTGATGTATGGTTTTGCTTCCGTGGAGTCAGGCGAAGTGAGTGTTTCAGAGGTGGACAAGGCCCTGGCTCCTTCTGTGCGGCTGTGATCTGGGTCTGAGACCCCAGAAATGATGGCAGTTGTTTCTGTTTCTGTAATGCTGCAATTGGTCACCTCGATGTGGGTGACGGAATAGGCAACCACGGCCTTAGAGGGAATAATGATGTCAGGTGCCGTGGCTTGGGAGGTGGTGAGGACCGCAGCTGACCCGTCGGAAGAGGAGCTGCTCTCTGAGGACAAGCCCTCAGTGTCTGTGGCAGGATGCGCCAATGTCACGATGCCAGTTACAATCCTCCTTGCCTCTTCAGAGCTGTCTTCGGTGCAGAGGGTCTCAAAGATGGTTTTCTCAGGATCATTGCGTGTGATGGTTTCAACAGTGGTCATTGTAGTTCCTGTGAGGTCATGGCTTGTGGCTGACATCTCTCTAGGGGTGGTTATCACACCCATGAACTTGGAAGGTATTGTTTTTGTGAGTGCCCTGGTCCCTGTTGCAGGGGAAATGGTCTTGGTTCCACTGGTTTCTGCTTCTGGAAAGATGCCATTTAGGATTAAGATCCTAGAAACATTCTCAGTGCTCAGGGTTTGAGCCTCCAAAGAGACATGGCCCGGTGCTGAGGTCTCAGCAAAACCAGTGGTCTGGATGGCTCCCTCTGAGCCCATCCTGACCCCTGGATACACATAAGGCACTTCTGCTTCATTTGATGTCATCAAAGTGTCATGTCTGCCGGTATGGGTGCCTGTGTTGGGTAAGATCAACTCTGTGAGTGGAGAGTCCCCGTGGGCTTCACACAAGCTCTTTCTGTTACTCCCTGTGCACTGGAAGGAGGCTGAGGAGGGGGGAGTTGCTGTTACCCCGGTTTCAGCTCTATAAACAAGTAAGAATGGGCAGCCCTGGGAAGCCCAGGCCCCTGAAGTAGCCACCGGCTGGGGTTGCCCAGAGTGATGTCCTCTGAAGCCCAAAAACCCACTCATAGACGGCAAGACCTGGGATCCTAGCTGATTGTTGGCTTGTGGCTATCAGAGGGAATGTGTGGGGCCAGCATCCACCTTCAAGGGTGAGCAGAGAAGGCAGAAGTCCAAGGGAGCTCAGAAATGCAGATCAGGGACTGGGCTCACAGAACTTCCTGAAAGAAGTTTCCCCATTGTATAATACTTTGAAGGAACTAAGCACCTTTAAAATACAAGAAAGAGGAGGGTTTCGGCTTTACAGGGAGCTGGGAGGACTCGGAGTGTGTTGGGGGGAACCTCCAGAGACAGTGAGGGAAGAGGGCAGAGTTTTTGGGCTCCAGCAAGAGAAAAAAGAGCACTTTCCACCTACGACTGAGAACTACAGGGATAGAACCCCAGAACCACAGAACCTGTGGGCCAGGCATTTTCCACTTGAAATGGGGAGCCACGTGAGGCAAAGCCTAACATTTTAGAGGTGTTTGCTGGCACTTTTCCATAGAAGAAGTGGCCCCTGAGGTGGTCTGAGTGAAGGTCCCCGAGAGAGGTCACAATGAATTTTTTTTAATAGAGATAGGGCCTTCCTATGGTGCCCAGGCTTGTCTTGAATGCCTGGGCTCAAACAATCCTCCTGCCTCAATCTCCCAAGTATTGTTATAGCAGAATGCTTTATGTCCTGACAAAGGGTGCCTCTCCTGTCTATAGAGAAGTAGGGTTCACACTGGGGGCAGACCAAGGATTGTCAGATCTATCAAATAAAAATACAGGATATCAGATAAAACTGAATTTTCACTTCAGATAAATTCATAATTATAATAAGTAAATATTTTTAGTATGAGTATTTTTCATGCAATATTTGAGACATATTTACGCCAAACAAAGCAAAACAAAAACCCTCTATACTGGAAATTAAAAAAAATTTTTTTGAGTTGAAATCTCACTCCATTGCCAGGCTGGAGTGCAGTGGCACACTCACAGCCACCCAGCATCAACTAGCTAGGCTCCAGCGATCCTTCCACTTCAGCCTTCCAAGTAACTGAAACTACAGGTGTGTGCTGCCACACCCAGCTAATTTTTTTTTTCTTTTGAGTTGGAGTCTCACTCTGTTGCCCAGACTAGAGTGCAGTGGCCACTCCCGGCCACCGCCAGCCTCGACCTGCTGGGCTCCGGCGATCCTTCTGCCTCAGCCTTCCAAGTAGCTGGAATTACAGGCATGCACTACCGAGCCCGGCCTAATTTTTTATTTGTTGTAGAGATGAGGTCTCACCAAGTTGCCCAGGTGGGTCTCAAACCCGCGGGCTCTGGCAATCCACTCACCTCAGCCTCCCAAAGTGCTGGGATTACAGGCTGAGCCACCAATCCCAGTCAGAAATTAAATATAACTGGATGCCCTGTCTTATCTGGTAACCCTACACTCAGAAGGAAGCGGATGAAAATACGAACACCGTTTTTGGTGTTCTGATGGTTTAAGAAGGTCCTCATTGAGATACTCTCAGAGGCCTAGTAGGACCTCTCCCCAGAGTGTCAGAATTGGGCCTCTCTATTGACTTGTTCTCCTGTGGACCTCGCTGAGTGATGGGTCCAAAGTCAGGAACCTAGATTGCGACTCTAGTTCTGCCGCCTGCTACTTGCACTACTGGTTCAAATCCTGCCTCTGCCTCCTGCCAGCCAGGTCAGCCACTAGGGCTCCCCCGGCCTCCATGCCCTCACCTGGGAAGGAGGGTCACAAGACCTCCCTGCCAAGGTGATCAGGACCAAAGGAGCTGGTGAACAGGAAAGCTCTTACATTCCACAGGCCACAAAGGGTTATAAGCACCCCTCCAAACGGTGTCCTCTCAAGGGGTCACTGGAAAGCACACAGCCCATTTGACTGCAGTGCGAATTGCAGCTGTACCCCTCTGCCCCCTAGGGGGGTCATGGGCTTCTATGCTCATTACCCTTTGTCTGCCCAACGGCACACACAACTCTGGCTTTTTCAGGAGCTGCTAGTTTGCCTTTCTGATACACTTTCCTTCTCAGCACTTCAAGGCCTGAGACATTCCTCTGCGCCCTCCTGGTCCAGCCTACATAGCCTGAAGCCCAAGGAGTGGTGCTCTCGCAGTCTGGCCTCTGACTTTCCACGATACATTTTCTTCCTTTTCCGGAAGCCCCATGGTGTCATTTCCACTGTGACACCTCCTCATGCTCGCCAAGCCCTAGCCTCTTTGCTCCAGACCTCCTGCAGGCCCCCACCCCAGGCTCTCACCTCTGGGGGTCTTCTCCAATACAGCAAAGCCCACCCCAGCCCCTCCACAGCCCTAGAACATTCAGCTCTCCCGGTCCATCCCTCAAATGATGCGAAGAGGCAAGTGTGAGAACTTCAGATCCTGGGTTTGAGTTCCCCTGTCTGCTGCTGGCTCTGCTGTGTATGAACCGGGTGACCCTGGCCAAGTCTCCTCGCTCCAAGCCTGAGTTTTCTCATCTAAAAAATGGAGCTTTATTTCATGAGATTCCATTAAACAAAATGGAAAATGTGCACCACAAACCTGGGAGGCTGTGAGCGCGTGTAAGCCAGTGAGGTGCAGTGATTAGGTCTGCGTGGAGGCAGATTCTGGTTCTGGGGTTGTGTTCTCCAATCCCATCGGCCTCGGTCTCCTCACCTTTAAAGGGGCGGAGGCAGGGGTGCCAGAATTGTATTTATCCAGTAGGACTATTGGGAGGATTAAAGAGGTTGTAAATGATGAAATGCCCATGCAGGTTCACTACTCTGGTGGGAGTGTTGGTGGGAGGGGTGTTGTCTGTGGTGGGGACAAGGGATAAATGGGAACTCTGTACTCTCCACTCAATCCTGCCTGGAACCAAAAACTGTTCTAAAAACATAACCTAGGATTTAGAGTCTATAATACTCAATGATCTATCACAGAAACAAAGAACAGAGTTCCATATGTTCTTACTCATAAGCGGACCCTAACATTTGCCATCATACTATAAGATAAGGGATTGGCAATAGTGGATACTGCCTGGGTTGGGGTGGGGACACAACATCAACAAGGGTACCTGATCTCAAACCAGGCAAAGTGGGGATACAAGGGAGGCCCAGACTTTACCTGTAGGATATCCACTTGTATAACGAATCCTGAATTGTACCCCATATCTTTAAAATAAAATATATACAAACTAAAAAAAAAAACATAATCTACTTCCTAAAATGTAGGTAACAAGGTGGCACAGTTCCTACGAGGGAGATATCAGTGTTAATTCCCTTCCTTCATAAAAGCCCTGCCTCTCTCAGCACCCAGCTATCCGCATAGTTTGCAACAGAGAGACTTTTCACACAAACACTGCATTTTGAAGGAAACCTACACTAGGTCATAGATGTGGAGGAGTCAGAATCTTGTTACACCACATTCTTCAGCTTGCCACAGATGATCACCAGCTGACACTTCCCTGTCCCCCACCTCCTCCCCCACATACTCACACTCACGCATAAAGACAAGCTCACAGGGACCCTTATGACAACAGCATCACTCATGTGTATGCACCAGAGTGTTGTGTATGCTGACACTGACACACACTGTCATTTGCATACTCTGCCAATAATAATACTTCTTCATATATAGCCTTATGTCTAAACTATAATTAACCCGAGAGAGCCTATCCTCACCCACAAAGGGCTGCCCATACTGAAACCTACACCCAGAGCCCCACCAGGTAGAAGCCCATAGGCCCCGCTGGCCTCCTTACCTGCAGAGCTCCCAGAGACTCCTTCCTCCCAGCAGCAGAAGAAAAGGGGCAGAACCAGGCCCCAGAGAGAGACCATCCTGGCTGGAATGCCAGCCACTGCTGCTCTGCAGACCTGCTGGTTGCCTCTCACCACCCCTTTTTCCTGCTTCCTCAACCCCGGGGAGGAGGGGCAGCCTTCTTGCCTGTGTGTGTGACTGGTTACTTTCCAGAATGCAGCCAGGTGATCACAAATGCACAGTCTGAGGGCTGACTGGTCTGGGCTGTCAGAGAGCTAGGCTTCCTGCCCCCCTTGCCTTATGACCTCTCTTCTCTGAGGTGTGACTTGAAGATACAGAACCCTGTCCATGGTGACATTCATCCCTGCCTTTGAACTTGGATGGGGCAGAGGAGATGGTGTTTCACTACCAGCTCCCCTATACACTGCCAGCAGCCCCTCCTGTACCTGGGGCTTGGGTTTTGAGTCAGACCTGGGTTTTCTTCCTAATCCTACACCTGATTAGTTTTATGGTTCTAGGGAAAATTAGAGAACCTTCCTGAACCTCAACTTCCTGGGCTGTGAAATGGGCTTCAAACTTAATCACTGGAATTACATGAGATACTATTGTTCTTGCACAGTGCCTGCTGCATAGTTGGTGCTCATTAAAATATATACCTCTTAAGTGCTTAATAAGTGAGTAAGAGCCCTGATATCCACTCTAATCCTCAAGCATTAGAGAGAAGGATCAGCCCTCCAGTGAGACAGGATTCTAATTTCTAACATCTTTCCTTCTTCAACATCCTGTGATTCTGCATTCCAGTCAAATCCAGAAACATCCCCTGGTCAGCTGGAGATACAGAGATGGAGAAGGGACTAGCTAGGAGAAGGGAAAGAATGAGTGTGCTCACCTGAGTCCCAGGACCTGGAAAGTGGGAAGTGTGAGGATGATAACTTAGGGAGGCTTAAAAATTTGATATTGAGAAGAGAGATGAAGCTACTAGATTTATTTCCAAACGCTCTAGGGAAGAATCTTACTCCCTCTGTGGGCCAAGGACATGAACTTTTATGACCACAGCCAGGAATTTCAGGGCAAGAACTTCATGATGAAAACGTTGCCAGGTGCGGTGCAGTGCAACTGGTAGTGAGTTGTTTACCTCACTACCAAAAAGAATTTCAGAGTGGCAACCAGTATAGTTTTAAAACGTAATATATTAGAAAGAGAAATAGACATGCCAAAGAGGCATGGATAGGTGTCTTAAAGAAAGACCTTGCTTTTGTTTCTTACAAGAAGTTTAATATAGTTTCACAATGATTATCATGTAAAAGAGGGTGGGCTGGGGTATCTCTCCTGAGAGGTTACTATCTCTCCACCTCTGCTGAGCTAAGGGTTGGCCTTCCCCACCCAAGACAAATTTTGCCTTTTACAGGAGACTTGATAGACTGATTATTATGGTAACCTATGAGCTAAAAGTTGGTGTGCGCTATTGCTACACTTTGATGAACTTTTCTTTGATAATCTGAGGGGTGGGGTGGACTCGAAAGTTCACATTCCAGCCCACAGGGTTGTCAGGCCTGATGTGGTAAGGAAAAATGTTTGAACGCTTCCTCTAGTCTAAAATTACTTAGCTTTTCACTTTATGTCTAGCCTATTCTGAATTCCCTGCTTCAAAAGCAACTCTGGGGTAGAGAAAAGCCTGCTGGAGCTGCATGAGGGAATCACAAAATCTCAAGGCTGGAAAGAATTTGAAAACTGGATCAGAAGATCCCGGTTTCATTTCCAGCTCAGCCCTTAACAGTAGTAGCCCGGGAACTGTGTGAACTTAGATACGTTATTTGCCTCTCTGGGCCTCGGTCAACCACAGTTCCGAGGTCCTCTTGGCCCTAAGGCCTAAAGTTTTGCATTGGGTGTGAGATACTATCTTTTAGAACTCTACCCTGCTTTGGGATCCAGGGCTGTAGTGCTATGAAAGAGGAGGGGGTTGTCTCAGGGCATGGGGTGAGGGTGAGGAGGACTCTCCCAGAGGCTGAGGGGTGTCCATCCAGGACACAACTCAACACTCGGAGTCGGGGCTCTTGGGCGCAGTTCCAAGACCACCATTAATCTGTAGGCTGCATCCTCACATCAGCCCGGTTTTTCACTTTATCAAATGGAACAATGGACTCTCCCAGGTGGTGTTGGGCAGGAAGAGGAGGCAGGGGTTACAGCAGCTTCTTAATTCTCTTAGGCCCTGTGGTGAGGCCTACCCGAAGAGAGGATGGAGAGGATCCTCAGCAAGAATGCGGCTCCTAGCCGGGCTCAGTGGCTGAGCCTGTAATCCCGCGCTTTGGGAGGCTGAGGTGAGTGGACTGCCTGAGCCCGCAGGTTCGAGACCCGCCTGGGCAACTTGGCGAGACCTCATCTCCACAATAAATCAAAAAATAAGCCGAGCCTGGTAGCGCGTGCCTGTAGTTCCAACTACTCGGAAGGCTGAGGCAGAAGGATCACCAGAGCCCAGCAGGTGGAGGCTGCGGAGGCTGGGAGCAGCCACTGTACTCCAGTCTGGGCGACAGTGAGACTCCAACTCAAAA